TTTCCCACTCTCTCATTCCCTCCTAGTCCCACCCTCCCTCCTTTATCTCCTCCCAGCCCCTCTGTAAGTCCACTGATAGGGGAGGTTCTCCTCCTGACCTTAGCTTATCAGCTCTCTCTCAGCTAGGTCCTCCTCTGTGACCTAGCAAGACTGCTCCTGCCTTGGGGGCTGGGAGGTCAAAGAGCCAGCCATTGAGTTCATGTCAGAGACAGTCCCTGTTCCCCAACTAGGGAACCCACTTGGATACTGAGCTACCATGGGCTACATCTGAGCAGGAGCTCTAGGTTATATCCATCCATGGTCCTTGTTTGGAGAAACAGTCTCAGAAAAGACCTCTACCCCATTGTGGTGTTTCATTACAGCTAGCAATTACCCTAATATCTATTTTTTTTTTAAATGTAGTGTCAGGACTACTATTTAAATCACCAAAGTAGCTGTTATTTCTAAGCCTACATTTCAAATGCCAATTATTTTTTCTCTATTTTTTTTAAAAGCTATGTGAATGAAGAGTGCCAAATTAAACTATATGAATAATATTTTCCATGATGCACTAAGCTGGATAAAAGGCTAATTCAACAGCAGTGTCAAGCAATGTCTGGAAAGTGTGCACCATTGTACCTCCAGGCACTTCTCTGCACTTAGCCTGGGTCAAACATGCAGAACAAAAATGTGCTAATGTCACTTTCTCCTCTTCTTTCTGCACCAGAACATGACAGTTCACATTATTTTATGTCAGCGCCCTTCATATCCAAAGGTTGTGCCACAGCTGCTACTGTTCCCTCCACATATATAGACAGGTAACCTTTAGCCCATTTCTCTTGAAGTATATTTATTATCATTCCATTAATTCAAAATGGAATGATAATTTGAATACCATGCTATCAAAATATTTTTCTTTAATATAATTTTAGTTAAAATATAATTACAATATTTTGTCTCTTTCCTTGCCTCCAACTCCTCTCATGTTCCATGTTTCCTGATTGTTACCCTCTCAAATTGATGGCTTCTTTTTCCTCATTATCTTTAGACACACACACACACACACACACACACACACACACACAAACATACATAAAAATATAACCTGCTGAGTCTCTTTTTCTTTTTTGTGCATATGATTCAGGACTGATCATTTTGTACTGGACAGTTAGGGGACTCAAACCTGAGAGGGGCTAATTCTTCTCTCAGCAGTGATAAGGCATGATCAGTTCAGTTGCCCGTAGCTCTCTGTCTAGCTCTGTACGTCTTCTAGTTGGGCATTAACACATCTTTTGATGTTGCTGTTCAGAGCTTGCCAGGAAGTCTGCTGTGAGACTGTGTGTCCTAGAAATGACCAATGAAACAAACAAAAAACTGACCATTATGATATTATTGCAATAGTTTGTCACTGAACCACCGCAGACTGTAGAGAAGCTGGTATATGTGTGATCACCAGTCCACGCCACAGGTTTGAACACATGCACACTGATGTAGTGATCACCATTGTTGACTTTAATGCAGAGTACAAGAATCATGAAAATTACCAGAGAAACTTCTGACCTACATCGCCTTGTATTTATGTCTATGGAAAAACCCTTTTGCCATCTCCTCAAACTAAACATAATCTCTTTCTTGGTCACCATCATACTCACTTTTACTAATGGCTAGACCCCATTAGTGTTTAGTGGGAACTCTTGATACCATTAACAGAGTGGAGACATGAGCAAGTCGCAGCAGAAAAACATGAGAAAAGTGAACATATTGGTGTTATCAGGAAAAGAGAACAGAACAGTAGACCAACATCAGATATTTCAGATCATTGCCATTAATATTTCATATTATTTATTGTAGAATATCTCTTTTCTTTGTTAAAATTATTCCTAAATACATATACATTTATTATTGAATATTATGATCTACTTTTTATTCCTAAATCTTGTAGGAAGACTTTGGACTTGTCTTATCAAATAGAATTTTCTGTAAGTAGAACAATTTTATTTAGACCCATGCAATAATTCCTAAAAGTCTATTGCCAAACACACACACACACACACACACAAATAAAAATAAAAAAAAAACAAACAGACATGAACCAAAAGCCCAGAGTAGGAAACTAAGGACTAAAGCCATGCATGGCAACAAATGACAAAGATACTGAAATAATTAGGAAAAGGTAAACAGGCTTAAAAATCAGTAGTGTTAGAAAAGATGGCTATCTACACTCAAAATTTTTTAAAAGGACTCTTGTCTTATACCTTTCACAAAAATAAATTCACAATTTACTAGAAAGTTATTATAAGACCTGAAACCCTAACACTAGAAGAGTAAACACAGGAGCATGATTCTTGACATAAATCTTACCAATACTTTATACATTCCTAAAATATAAGTAGTAAAAAGTAAATTAGACGACACAAAATTAACAATTTTCTGTGTAATAAAGAAATAATAAATAAAACATAAGACAACTTATGGAATGGGAGAAAATATTTATGCATTGCATATAGGATAAGGGATGATATGTAAAATACATAAGAAACTCATAAGTCAATGACAGAAACAACACAATAAATACTTTGGGAAAAGGCCTTAATATTTTCCCAACAGAAGCAAACTCTCAAAAGATTTACGTGAATAAGTACAAAAGAATTGGGTATATAAATTATGCATCATTGTATCTAATTGTGGAAACCAGAGAATTATATAACATGGTGATAGTAGTAGGACTTGAACCTGTTCACACTGGCTCCACATTTAATGCTGTAAGTAGTTTAAGTGATTTTACTCATGAGGATTGTATTTATCTCTCCATTTGTCCACTCTTCCTTCAAACAATTCTACCTGATGAACAGCATTGAATTAACTCATCATTCTATGAGATTATTCATGTGTGAAATACTAGAAGGAGTTGGAATCAAAGAGATGCATCTCCCTAAGGAGCCCCGCGTCTGCTTTACCCCTGCTTGTGACCAACTACGTGATGAGGAAGCTGACAAGACTTTAAGGATCAATTCTTGCTTATTGATTATAGAACAATGCTATATGAAGAGGCATTAAAATGGAAAGATTGTGAACGAATGGCAGGGGAGACAGCCTTCTGCACAAAACCTGAATACGCTCTGACCGCCGGTGATGGGCGAATGTGGTGCTTGTATGTACAGAGCTGTAACCATGACTCGTGACCCACAGTTAGAAGTTAGCAGCGTCCTTCATCCTGCCAATGAGGAAACACGAAAGGTTTTTTGTTTTGTACGAAAAGCATAAAGAAACAAAAACCAAAATCTGAGCGTCACTACAGGAATATAGTTGCTAGTTGTGAGTGGATTCTAGAGCGAGACTGTGGGTGCAGAGGTGTCAGAGATACCGAAGTGCAGCTGGGCTGCTGAAGCAGAAGGTGGGAGGCTCCGCCATCACCAAAAGGGATTCTATGCTCTGGCTTTGGCCGTTTTCATTCTTACCTTCCGATACTTGCTATTTGTATTCTCAAGCTTCCTGTTTTTCAGTTTGCTTAATTTGTTACTTAATCGTATACACTGCTTGGTCTCCTTGTGTGGATATTCTTTAGGCCTTTGAGTTAAAACACCTGTCATTTCTCTTTGTTCTTACCATATGTTCCTGTCTTATACCCTGCACTTTACATAGCCAAATTGCTCTGTGAACCTACATAAGCATAAAGTACTTAAACATGAAGTCACTAAAGGAATCCTATAATAGATATGATTTAAAAATCCCTAAATAAAGGGACAGAAATGCAGTCTCTAGCAGAGGAAGGTGGTCTCACACAGGAAATGTTTTTCTTTTCCTGAGATTATTAAGCATATCTTTGACATCTCTGTTTGCTTATTCATCAATAGATTTATAAAGGGTAAATATGAGAACAGCAGAATATATCACATTCATCAGGCTTGCAGACATAACAAATAGCCCCAGAAATCTCTATAGTCTCATGATTCTCGTTTACTTCTGGCTCCATCAGCGCCACAGCATAAGAGTTCTGGTGTGTGATTTGTGCTTTAGCTGGAAGCTCTGTTCCAGGGCCTCTCTCATCCCAAGGCTCCATCACGGGATGGGGGTTCCATCCCCACATTTGTACAGTGGTCAGAAGGAAACAAGGCTGCAGAAGAGATGCCTGTTCTTTAAAGGCCTTGGGAAAACGAGGCAGTGCATTTTTGTTCACAACTGAGAGAGATTCAGCTCATCCTGACATGCAGTAGCAAAGAGGCTGAACTTAGTGAATGACTTTCTAGAACACAGGAGAAACATTTTGACTGCAGCTACTAGTTTTCACTACAGTTAGAAATATAAGTTAACTAATAACACCACCATTGGAAAACACAGGAGAGTATTACCCTGGTAAGGTGCACTGGGGCTACATCTTCCTGCTCATGGTCCCCCAGCTGACAAACTCAGCACATGCACAGAGCTTAGTCCCAAGAGGAGAATTATTTTGAAACAAAGAGCTACATCACAGCCTTCACAGCAATAGAGCTCGGACTATTTCAGACCTTTCCAAATTGGCAAATGATAAACTGTAGCTAATCCAGCTGCTCACAGCATGAAGTAGAACACTATTGGTGCCCACTGGTGTTGGACGCTGCCTGACTCATGACCTGTTTGTTCATGATTTTCTTTTTAGCGAACTATATACAAAATTCTGTATCTAAGTATATAAAAAGTAATGTCTAACTCCATAAAATTATGCCTGGGTATATAAAAATGATGTCCAAAGCCATAAGAACTATGTCTAAAGACTGTCTACATAGAAATAAGAACTATGTCTAAATACCGCATGCAAAATAAAGTGACAGCCCTTCTTCTTGCAGGTTAAATGACAGTGAGAGGTGATAACAAGTAACAACAAATCATATGACGTACGTTTACATGGGAAAATGCTATACTGGTGGTTTTCTTGCCCAATATCAGAAGCTGAAACCTGGGGAAAATGTATTTTTTTGTAGCTTCCAAAGTATTTGAAATGAATATAAGCTTAGCACTTACGTTGTCTGTCTGTTCTGATATAGGTCCGAAGGAGACTAAAGATGAATCTGATGAGGAAGAAGTAGACACCAGGTTTAGGATATCTGCAATGAAGATCCCTTTATATTCCCCCAGAACACTCACATACGGTGCAATGTTGAAGGAGATGAAACGGGACTATATTCCGGACTATCTCCAGCCACTTCCTACCCCTCGTCCAAAGCCACCAATCAAGACAGAAACACTAAAGGAGCTAAGGAAAAGGAAAGAATTTCTAACCTCAGAGAGGGCTGGCATGAATCTCCACATGTTTAATGATATTGACAAATATCACGTAGAACAAAAGCACCAAGAAAGAGAAGAAAGAAAATTAAAAGCCGTGATTGCGGCACAAGTCGCCCGGGAAAGGGCTAGGCTCAGCATTAAAGAGCATGGAAGGAGGAAAATTCATATGGCACAAAAACAAGTGGAAAAGGATCATGAGACAATCCAGAAAGGCTTACGGAAAATTTGGAAGGAGAAACTTGCCTACCTGGGAAAAGTTAGAGAGCGGAAATCTATGTTTCTAGCTGAGAAAAAGCTGAAGGCCGCAGAACATTCTTTGGTTCAGTCTATGAACAACGAGAGATCTGTTCTGCTCAGAGGCATCAACAGTGTTGACAGACTGAAACATAACTTGTCAGACTCAAGAAATAAGCGCCGGATTGTTGCTGAAAAGTGGAAGGCAGAAAAATACAAGAAAAGTTTGTTGAGGCAGGGGAAGGAGCTCAGGTAGGTGCATGTCTTAGACACCGCAGTCCTGGGTCTGTGGTCATTTACAAAGCCAGTGCTGAGTTCTATCAGGAGGTGTTTTTCTATAGCTTGATACTTTATTCTTCGGAAATTGGAAGTAAGCTCAAAGGTGAAAATTATGTGCCAAGCTGTTACCAAACACTGGGAATTGAAAGAACTCTTCTTCCATTGGCACCACTGAGGAAAACCTGCTCAGTTTAGGGTTGCCTAGCTAGTCTCCTTCTTGTCTTCTTATTCTTAAACAGAATCTGGGAGAGAGCCAACTTGGTTATTTCTGTGTCTTTCTAAACTGAACTGGCATAACCTCTCAGTGTTCACAGGCTCCTCCTCACCCGGACCTCTCTCCAGCTTTCCCTAAGCTCTGTGCATCACCCTGGGCTTCTGCACTGGTTCTGTTTCTCTGTTTGTTTGACACAGGGTCTCATGTAGCTCAGGGTTGACTTTAAACTCTGTGTACCCAAGAGTGACCTTGAACTTCTGACCCTCCTGACTCCATCTCAGGAGGGCTGGGATTTCAGGCATGTATCACTAATGCCAAGTTTAGGTGGTGCTGGGTATTGAAGCCAGGACTTTATACATGCTAGGCAAGCACTTGGTGAACTGAACTCCATCCTACCTGTTAGCAGTTCTGACCATATAAATTCTATTTTTCTGTATGGCCTTTTCCCCCTCATTTATTTATTTTATTCACTTTACATCCTTTTTGTCCCTTCCCTCTTCCCCTGCTCCACCTCCTCTTCTCCTCAGAAAAGGGCAGCTCCCTTTCCCATCCACCCCAACTCATCTAGTTGCATCAGGACTGAGCATGTTCTCCCCCCGTAGCCTGGCAAGACAGTCCTGCCAGAGGAAAGTGATTTAAAAGCTGGCAAGTGAGTCTGTGTCTGATACAGTCCCCACTTCCCTTACTAGAGGATCCACATGAAGCCTAAGCTGCCCATCTGCTATGTCTTTATAGGGGCTACGTCCAGATCATGCACTGTCCTTGGTTGATGCTTGAGTCTCAGCAAGCCCCTCTGGGCCCTGGTTAGTTGGTTCTCTTGCTTTTGTTGTGGAGCTCCTGTCACGTCCAACCAAAGACTCAACCTGTCAGAGAGTGCCAACCCCTGACACATGAAGGATACTCTGCTAAGCTTGCAGACAGGAGTTTGACAGTGTTGTCCTCTGAGAGCCTCTACCTAGCAGTGCCTCAAAACAGATGCTGAGACTCACATCCAAACATTGGATGATGCTTAGGAGTCTTGAGGAAAATTGGTAGGAAAGAGAAAAGGACCCATATAAACTCTTACCGCAGTGGATACCTTGCCATTGCTCATAGAATATTTGGCCTATGGATGAATTTCAGGCAACATATTTTGTTTTAGTCTGGAGTCTTTTTTACACTAAATTTTCTGCTATAGTTTTAACCTCTTGTCATACAGCAGGCTTTTTTTTATAGAAAGCAAATGCCTCCCCATTTCTTACTTGGCTTTCTATTTTTTATCCTTCTGACTTCACTCACACTGCTTAATTTTTCTCTAATACGCACTCTTCCAAAACACGGCAAGCCTGCAATATGAAAGAAGGCTGTCGAAGCCTTTGTATGGGAAAAATCTCATAGTTTGTGGTATCTATTGGGCAGAGAGTTCTGTGTGTGTGTGTGTGTGTGTGTGTGTGTGTGTGTGCAAGAATGAAGACACGTGGTGTGTACATGGCTGTTGGCTCTGTGGATTTACCTTTCATCTTTAGACTTTCCACGTATAATGCAAAAAATATACCTAGTGCGAAAATCATCTTTTGTCATTCACTTCTTAGAAATTAGTTCCAAAGATATTTTCATTTTTTGCCATTTAATTTTTGAAATTTCATTCGTTATTTTTTTTATTTTTTAAGTTTAATTTTGTTTCATACAACATATTTTGATTCAGTTATTTTCTTCTTACAACAACCCCTCCTCAACCTTAGTCACCTCCCTAGCCATCCAAGTTTAAACTCTTTCTCCCTCTGTCTCTGTCTTTTAAAAATCTTTTAAAAAATATTTTAAATTTTTATTAATTACAGTTTATTCACTTTGTATCCCAGCTGTAGACCCCTTTCACTTCCCCATCCTCTCCCAATCCCACCCTCCCTTCTTTTTCTCCTATGCCCCTCCACCAGTCCAATAATAGGAGAGGTCCTCCACCCCTTCCAATTGAGTCTAATCTATCAGGTCTCATCAGGACTGGCTTCTTTGTCTTTCTCTGTGAACTGGTAAGGCTGCATCCACCTCAGGGGGGGGGGTGATCAAAGAGGCAGACCATGAGTTCATGTCAGAGACAGTCCCTGTTCCTATTATTGGGGAACCCTCTTGGACACTGAACTGCCATAGGATACTTCTGTGCAGGGGTTCTTGCATGGTCCTTGTTTGGAGTATCAATCTCACAAAAGGCCCCTGTACCCAGAATTTTTGGTTCTATTGCTCCCCTTGTGGAGTTCCTATTCACTCCAGGTCTTTCTATCTCCCCCTTCTTTCATAAGATTCCCTGCACTCGCCAAATCTCAAACCTCTCTCTCTCTCTCTCTCTCTCTCTCTCTCTCTCTCTCTCTCTCTCTCACACACACACACACACACACACACTCTCAAAAGACCAATAAAGCAAGAAAAGTAAAACAAGGAAAAAAAAAAAAAAAAGCTCAAGCCAAACAAAACAAGAATTCCACAGTTAGGACCAATTGTTGAAAGACATAAGCCCTCATGCCAACTGCAGTTTCATTTCATTTCATTTCATCCTGACTTATGAAGCTTTTCTGCAGACAGCATCTTGTCTCTTCATAACTTCCACCTTGATAAACAGCCACCCTGTTTATACAACAATAACATGTTTGGGCTCCAAGCATGTTTCATATTAATATCCAGCCGATAACTCACATTCACCCACACATAGAGGGTCCATTCCCCAGGAACTGCTCTGTCTTCGAGCAGTTACACTGTTGCATATTTATCTGTGGCCAAAATCTACCAACTTTTTATTGCTTTGCTTTCACCTCATGCATGCTTGAAATATGTGTCAATACCAACCTTGTGCATTTCCTGCCTACTGTAGAATCCACATTGTCCAGATCATCCTTTGCATTTTGTCCAGTGTCTCTTTCACCCTCTTCTGTGTTGTCTTCACAAAGCTGACTGTCCTCTATTCCTAGTTTCTGCCTATGGCCAACCCAGTGTCCCCATCACCTAACTAATCACTAGCTAGCTTATATCAGCACCCTTTGGCTTTTATAAACCCAACTTCATCTATCCCTCAGTTACTCATTCTTTCTCTGACTTCATGAAGGAACAGCGTCAGGCCTTCACCAAATGCAAGGCTTTAGGTCCAAACACCACTGTATCTCTGGGTTCCCAGAAAGAATACTGGCCCTCAAAGTTGGATTCCTTCTACCCACCACGTCCATAGAAATGAAATTCTAGGTGGCATAGATCATTTCTATGGTCTGTGTCTGCTACTTCAGGGTAAGGCTCTGATTTTCTTATTTAAAGCCAGTGTCAGTTCCTGCTGAGAATGTTCCTCATATAGAAACTGGGTCTGTGTGCAATGGGCATCTTGGTTTGAAAAGAATTTGAAGTGTAATATGTCTTTAAATTCTTGAACATGGTAAAATATCTCATTAGTTTCATCCTTCTTTAATTATGATTATAATTCAAATGAAATTCTATTATATTTGACAAAGAAGTCTGTTAGAATCACTGAAGACAAGAAAATGGTGCCTGAGCTCCAGTCCTCAAGAGGTGGCAATATTGAGTGGACATGATGGTGGAAGGGACTACATGCGTGTGTGTAAGGGTGTTAGTTGGTCCACATTAAAAGTGTTATCCAGGTGGGTCCAAGTAATCACTTTAGCTTTTCCATGTATCATCTCAGGTATAGACTTTCTGTAGCTTTTCTCTATACATACATACATACATACATACATACATACATACATACATACGTATATGGATTTATTTTTATAATGCATTCATCTTATATCTTGATTGTAGTTCTTTCCCTTGTGTCCTACTGGTCCCACCTTCCCTCCTTCTTCCCCCATCCCCTCCCCTAGTCCTCAGAATGGGCGAGCCCTGCTCCCCTTCTATCTGATGCTAGCCTATCAAGTCTCATCAGGATTGCCTGGATCCTCTTCCTCTGTGGCCTGGCAAGGCTGCTAGGGTCCTTGCCATGCATGGTCTTTGGTTGTTGAATGAGTCTCTGCAGGACCCCCTGGGTCCAGGTTTTTTAGTGTTGTTGGTCTCCTTGTGGAACTCCTGTCCCCTCTGGGTCGTTCTACCCTTCAATCTTCCATAAATCTCCCTGAGCTCTGCCCAAAGTATCCATAACTGAGTTTCTTTCTCTGTAATCAGTGGAGTGGACTTCCTTTTTCAATTTTTAGATGCCGACATGTCCATGGACAATTGATTTACATGTATGGATCACTCATTGATTCTTTTCAAAAATTTTATTTTAGTTTTTCCGTTGCTCATTATTTTTATCTTTTAGCGTGATGATTGCAGTGTAATACTCTGACTTACATTTTGCTTTCCTTTGTATGTTTAAAGTTCTATTGGCTTGATTTCTGCTCATGGCCAGATATGTGCTGTATCTACCATCTAGACTGAGATCAGAGTAGCTAACTTCAGCTAAGTGGTTATCAAATGGGAGGCACATTTTCTCTCTCTCTCTTTTTTTTTTCCCCAGAACTGGAGTTTGAAGCAGGGCTTACAACAGGCAGAATTACATCATACAAAACTTCTAAGCCAGATTGTCCTCTTCATGATGATGAAGAAAACAGATATGGACAACCTAAACAGTACATCCATAGTCACAGTCCTTAAATTTCATAAAAAGATTTTGTACACCAAAAGAATGGCTGTTGAACCTGCCTTGCAACAACCAGCCACAGTTTCTCCATGCAGTGTCCTGGAAGGGATCACAGGGATAGCCTGAGGCTCAATGTCTCCCATCGGCTGGTTTCTCCTACACTTTCTCTCTACTGTCCAGTAAAGGGACTCATTAAATTTCTGTCTATCTTCAATACATTTGCAATGTGTAACTCTTTTTGTCTTTTTCTGAATGAACCCTATGAGTTAGACCATCCAGTCCTTAAAGATGAAAAAAAGAGAGAGAAAATATTGAGAATTTATTGAAAATCCAGCCAGTAAGTTGCAAGCTTATACCTCAATCTTTTCATCCACTCTGAGCCCAGATTTCTAATTATACATATGTAGAAGTGTAGTACCTCATGAATCAAACAGAGACATTCCCCCCAGAACTGCATGGAGAAGCAGAGTGAGGTCAGTTCTTGGAACATACGGTAGTATACTTCTCCCTGTGCCTCAGCTTTAGCCGTCTGTGCTATATAAAATACTTCTGACAAAAACAATCTGTCTGTAATTTTCTGCCTAGAAATGTGTCTTTTTTAAAAAGTCTCAAAAAACAAACAAACAAAAGTCTCAAGAGTTATTTCATGTTTGAATCTTTTGTCTCCTCTCCTCACTTCATAAGCTTCATTAGTGAGTTTCTTGTTGTAGTAAAACATTTAATGCAAGAACTTACTATATCTTTCTCTTAACTTCCTGTGCATTTTCCTTGATGATATTCTTCTATGTTTCTTTTTGTTTGAAGCATGCGGAGATACGGTCATGCTTTGACAGTGAATGAATGAATGAGGATGAATGAATGACTTGTCTTCTATACTGTGACATGTCCTGGGTGTGGTAGGGTAATCTGATCTAGGTCTCTCTCACTGAGAATATGTACTCATCTAGTGGAGTTGCTGTAACAAGATGCCTTAGGCTGAGCAGCTTGAGGCAGATTGGACTTAGTTTCTGACCTGGAAGTACACACTGGTGTGGTTTTCCCTTAGTGTCTTTACTTGGCTGCCACCTCACTATGGCTTTACGTGTGCTTTTCTTCAAGCTGATTTATGTTCCTCTTCTCATTGGAGATTTAGCCATGTTGTATTCAAATCCATTTGTCTAATCTCATTAAACCTCAGTTGCTTCTTGAAAGTCCTGTCTCCAAATGCAGTCACACACTAAAGCACTGAGCTAGGAATTTAACAGAGGAACCCTGAGGGAAGACATCCTGTCCCATGCAGAAGGAAGCCTGGGTTTCCAAACTCTTGGGGAGAAGTTCTACTGTTCATAACGAAGGCAGTTGGGGTGCTTTGGGGGAAGTCTAAGAAGGATTGAGTAAGGAGTCTCGGATTTGTGCAAAGGAGACCCTATAAATATCAGCAGACTATGAATTGAATCTCATTTAACAAAGTAATAATATTATGTAGACTGAGCTCTCCTTTTCCTGTTTATAAATGTCTGTTTGGAAAACATCAATTTTATCTGTAGCAGGCTAATTTCTATAGTTTAGTAACCTCAACTGTTCTCGTTTGACTTTACTTCTTTCCTCACAGGGCTGAAGAAACCCGTAGAAGTCACCATGAAGAGAAATTTGTTATTGATACACTCATCTTTCACAAAGCCTGTGAAAGATTTGAGGAGGCCAAAGCAAAAGTTGCACTTATTAAGTCTCTTGAAAGACACCGTGAATGAACCAATGCCACACCATATCTGATGATTGTGAATTGTGGCCACTATTTTGATTTAAAGGATCTTGAAAAACTATTTGGAAAGCTTGCTCTATACACAGTAGATCTGGGTGTAAACTTGTTCAAAAAGAGAAGAAGGATCCAAGTGTTTCTGGCATGGATTATAACACAGAGCTTGACTTTTCACTTCTAACGGGCCATTATATATCTTTGTGCCCAAGAGGAAATCAAAGCTGTGTGACTTCTTCATGCAAAGTCTCCCAAAATCTATGGATTTCCATAGGCTCTGAGAATGTCAGGTTGTTAAGCTACATTCTCTGCTAATTGTTTACTTCATTGCCAACTTTTACTTAAATATTGAATATGCACTAAAACCTGTAGTTACCAGATTTCATATATTGAATTATATTTCCTGTTTAGGTTATTAAAGCAATTTTTACATTTTGTTTATTTTTTCAAAATAAAGGTTTCAACAATGTATCAATTATTTATAGTCATAAAAATAAACTATGGAAAGTAAACATTTTACCATCTCCCTTGAAGACTTTTGATGTGTTTGTCCTTTTTATAGAGATATGAGGACAGAGAAAAAAGTAATCAACAGGAGAATCTGTGAAACAATCTCATGCCAATCATAAACTATATAGAAATGGCATATAAGTAATATTAGTGCTAGAAATCTGAAAAAATAGACATTAAAATGTAAAAATCTCTGTTTACCATGCTTTCATCACCTAGGACAATAAAAGCATCGATGTCACTTTGACATAGCTGGACAGGGTGCCATACAAATCTGTATTTAATTTTCATCAGCTATATGAATAGACTTTAAAAGCTGTAATACTTCAGAAGCCCTCTGATTTTATCAATCTATTAGAGTTTTTTAAAGATCAAGTATTTTATAACTGCAATTCTTTGTGTGGGCTTCAGTGCTGGATGGTTATCAAGTGTGGGTATTGTTTCCACAAAATGACAGCTATCTATTTAAGTCCACAGTCCCAGCTTCCACTGTACTGCTAATTAACAGATGAGTAACAGGCAATTCATTTGGTATTTTGAATCATTCTGTAGAAAGAACAAGGAGAAACATAGTCAGCTGCAGAGCACCCCGGAAAAAAAAAATTCACAGCAAATGAGCAAATGTCTGTCACTCCTATTTTCTATACAGCTTTTGTCATATGTATATTTTATATATTAAACAAAATAGTCATCCATATCGGTTACCGTGATTTTACGATTGAGATGTGCAATACAACATAAAGCAAACAGCATGGTATTGTGCACAAAGTAAGCACTTACTGAATGCCAGTGCATGGAGGTGGGAGTGAACACACTTCTCCACTCACTGGAACACTTGCTCAGTCTTCCGTCACTGTTTGACAGATATCAAAAAGAATAGGAAGAACCGTTTGTGTGCTGATTTAAGAAGAATTTGTTGACTTGGTATCAACATTGACTGTGTTTTTCTATTCTCTCACTCCATATTTTATAACTTTTATCTCATAACATACAACCAACAATTTCCTTAACCATCTCTACTCAACTCTGACCTAGAGGGGAAAGAATATCTCCTTTTCTCTATGCCTGTAAGTGCTTCATACTAAAGCAGATAAATTACATATGCACACACACACACACACACACACACACACACACACACACACGAGAAGGCTTTTCCTCTTTATAGCTCTCATGCATGTGTTGCCTTAAGTCAATCTCATTGTATTACTGTTCTTTATTGTTCACATTTTGACAAAATCTGAAAATCTGTGTCCTGGATCATACCTCTAGTTCTGATATGTCTCTGACATTTCCATCCCTGATCTCAAGCTGTACTATCGAGCAACAGTTATAAAAACTGCATGGTACTGGCATAGAGACATTTCCAAAACATGAATGTGATGCTCTTCAATTAAGGCCTAAAGTTTTTTTTTTTAAATACATATTTTTTCTTTTTATTATTATTATTATTATTATTATTATTATTATTATTAATTACACTTTATTCATTTTGTATCCCCCCATAAGCCCCTCCCTCCTCCCCTCCCGATCCCACCCTACCTCTCCTTTCTTCATGTATGCTCCTCCCCACATCCACTGATAGGGGAGGTCCTCCTCTCCTTCCTTCTGGTCTATCAGATCACATCAGGAATGGCTGGATTGTCTTCTGTGGCCTGGTAAGGCTGCTCCCCCCTCAGGGGGAGGTGATCAAAGAACAGGCCAATCAGTTTATGTCAGAGGCAGTCCCTCTTCCCATCACTATGTAAGCCACTTGGACACTAAACTGCCATGGACTACATCTGTGCAGGGATTCTAGGTTATCTCCATGAATAGTCCTTGGTTGGAGTATGAGTCTTTGGGAAGTTTCCTGTGTTCAAATTTTCTTGTTCTGTTGCTCTCCTTGTGGAGTTCCTGTCCTCTCCAGCTCTTGCTATTTCCCACTTCTTACATAAAATTCCATTCACTCTGCCTGCCAGTTGGCCATCAGGCTCAGCATCTGTTTTGATAGTCTGCAGGGCAGAGGCTTTCAGAGGCCCTCTGTAGCAGGTTCCTAAACCAAGTAATCCACTTAAAAAATGGGGCTAAACAGAGAACTCTCTGTAAAGGAATATCGAATGGCAGAGAAGCATTTAAAGAAATGCTCAACCTCATTAGCCATTAGGGAAATGCAATCAAAACAACCCTGAGATTTCACCTTACACCTATCAGAATGGCCAAGATGAAAAACTCAAGGGACAACACATGCTGGAGAGGTTGTGGAGAAAGGGGAACCCTCCTCCACTGCTGGTGGAAATGTAAACTTGTACAACCACTCTGGAAATCAATCTGGCGCTTTCTCAGACAACTAGGAATAGTGCTTCCTCAAGATCCAGCCATACCACTCCTAGGCATATATTCAAAAGAGGCTCAACTACACAAAAAGGACATTTGCTCAACCATGTTTGTAGCAGCTTTATTTGTAATAGCCAGAAGCTGGCAACAGCCCAGATGCCCCTCAAATGAAGAATGGATGCAGAAACTGTGGTACATCTATACAATGGAGTATTACTCAGCAATGAAAAAAAAGGAAATCATGAAATTTGCAGATAAATGGTGGGACCTGGAAAGGATCATCCTGAGTGAGTTGTCCCAGAAGCAAAAAGACACACACGGTATATACTCACTCATATAAACATACAACATAGGATACACCCACTAAAATCGGTACATCTAAACAAACTAAGCAAAAGAGAGGACCCTAACTGAAACGCCCAATCCCCATCCTGAAGGGCAAAGAGGATGGACATCAGAAGAAGAAGAAAACAGGAAACAACCTAGGAACCTGCTACAGAGGGCCTCTAAAAAATACATATTAAAATTAAATTCATTTATGTTTCTTAACATTCTTCCATCTTCCTACTCCATGAGCCTTCAATACTTTCCAGCATTATATGTATGTAACACGCTATGTGGCCTCCCAAACCAAAAGCTTAGAAGATAACTTGACTTCCTTATTATCAAACATCAATTCTGTCATCCAGAAGTCTCTATAGTAGACTGGTTAGCTTCTCACCAGTCCTGTTCCCTCTCTCTCAGGTTTGCATCCCAGCGCCCCTTGCAAGTAATTGAAGCACACATTTAAGTTGTAAGTGGTCTGTTCTCTCTGGTGTGCCTGTCCAGCCTCCATGAATTTCTCCCCGCTTGACCAGTGGGTAAGACCAGCCAACTCCCACTGCACCACTGCTTGGAAAGCATCTGGGCTCCTGCTTTGCTTGGAGTGGCTTATACTAAGTACTGCCAGTCAACCACAGCCGACAGCTGTTTATAAAGAAGATTCTTCTCTCATACAGCCTAACTGCAGTTTCCTTTTCTTCTAATCCTCCCAACGTGCTTCTGCCTCCCTTGTCTCCCACATGTACTGTTTCTCCATTTTCCTTTAGAAAAAGTGTTATCTCCCAGGGATAACAACTGGCTATGGCATAACAAGATGTAATAAGACTAGGTACAACCCACTTCCTCTGTAAGGATTTCCACAAAAATCACCAAGCTAACAACCATAAAATATATGCAGAGGGCATAGGGAAGCACCAGGAAGGCTCCACGGTAGTCACTTCAGTCTGTGAAAGCCCCCAAGGGCCTTGCTTAGTTGCTTCTGTGGATCCTGTTCTTCTGGTGCCCGTGATCCCCCTAGCTTGTATGATTCTTCCTCCTACGAATCAAGTGAATCATAGGAGCTAAAAGGTATTTAATAAGTTGAAGTGTCGTTAGCAGAAGGAAGAGTAACTCAGCCTGTCCTAGCATTCCGGCTTAGTAAAGACACCAATACTGCGGATAGAACCATGAGCCATGCATTAAACAGCAGCCATGAGTCTGTTGTTGATGTGGTCTTAAGGTGGATGGAAGTTCCTCTAAGGACTCCATGGCTCACTTGGACTGTCAGAGCCATTGGCTCTTGCTGCAGCTCACATCCAGCCATGGCAAGAAGTCAGTAGTGGCTGCCTTGCACTCACATGTGGCTCATAGACAATCCAGCCAGAGCTCGCCCAGGTGAGAATGTGCTGACCCTCTCTGTAGGTATTTCTGCCTGTAAGATTTTAGATTTCATAAAAGGGTACTACTGATATTCTGTCTTCCAAATCAGTAAATCTTGTATGTTATAAATTCCTCAGATACTGCCCGTTGGTGTGTTCCCTGACGCTGGCCAATCACCCGAAAGCTTGGATGCCCATGATATGAAAGCAGTTAGGTAGCGTACTGTCCCCAAGAAAAGGAGGGGACCAAAGAAGAGTAGAGGCAGGCTGCAGCCTTTAATTAATTAATTTTCATGGAAGGAAGTGTTTATTTGGATTAGGGTTCCAGAAACAAAGTCCTTAAAGGTGGCAGAAGTTGGCCACAGGCAACCAAAGCAGAAAGCTCTGTTTGCTGTCTCTTTTGTGCTGTGTGATCACTCTCTTTTGATTGCTTCTTTTATTTTTCCATTAATTAATTTATTTGATCACTTTTTAGCCTGGTTGAAGGCCCCTCCCTCTTCACCTCCCAGCCCCACCCTCACAATTCCCTATCACATTCCTTTTTCACTTTATCCTCAGAGAAGGGGAAGACACCCATGAGTACAATCCACCCCAGCACATCAAGTCACCACAGGACTGAGCACTCTGTAACTGAGGCCTGACAAGTCAGCTCAGCTAGGGCAACAGAGT